ATGGGAGGCTGTATGGGGGACAGTGTGTGTCTATGGGGGGGCAGTATGGGGACAGTGTGTGTGTATGGGGGGCAATGTGTGTGTATGGGGGGCAGTATGGGGGACAGTGTGTGTGTATGGGAGGCTGTATGGGGGACAGTGTGTGTCTATGGGGGCAATGTGTGTGTGTACACCCCCCCCAGCCTACCTGTCACCTGTGGGGGTCAGGCAGCCATCTTCAGCAGCAGCATGGGCTGCTGCATAACGGCGGGGGCGGGGCTTACCGGCGGGAGGCGGGGCTTCGTTTGGGGGCGGAGCCTGTGCCGGGGAGCCAATCAGTGCTCCCTCCAGCCACAGACAGCCTCCAGCACCTCAGCACTGCATTCCCTCGGGCTGTAGCAGATGGCCAGCTAGTTGCCAGCATTTGGGGGGGCCAAGGGGGGGCACAGCATGATGTAGGGGGGGCCATGGCCCCCTCTGGCCCCCCCCTAGCGACGCCACTGGGTGGCAGTAACTGAAGGATTATGCTCCTCCCTGTGGACAAGACATCTTAGCAATTAATTTAAAAAAAGAACCCTCCCCCTTATCCTATAAAGTGCTGTACCACCAAACCTACCCCAGTTTTCTTTCTTGTCCCGAGAGGGAAGGACAGGATATCAGATGGTGAGACACACAGGCTGTTTGTCTGGGATACCTGGTCCGAGAGCTGCCCGGGCGGTAGGCTGAGTGACCATGCTCCTGACCGGTAAGGTTACGGAGCAAGTGGAGGGAGTGTCTGTTTATGCCGAGAACGGTTCCGGCAATGCTTCCTGGAGGTGGAGCTCAGTCCGAGCCTGCGCACAGTGGGGGAACACACGCCCGGGTGGTGTTGCATTCCACCTAAGCTTCCGGGTGCGCTAACACGCATGCGCATACCGGAACCTTAAAGGCATATACAAATAAAAAAGAAAAAAAACGCGAAAATTTGAAATCCGACGAATATAAGAAGCTGTGCAGTACCTACTGACTGCATGGATGCAGGTCAGAAGAAGTACACCGTGCCACCTGCCCCCCCACATGGCTCAGAGGTATTTTAAGGTGAGATTAAAATTATTCTTTACTTTAAAATATTCTCTGGAAAAAAATTTCAATCAAAGCTAAAAACCTCCTTTCATATATTCTCCACAGATATGTCTAGCCCAGCTTATCCTGACACGGACAAAGAAAAGCTGGCTGCCGCTATGCCTAGAAAGGCTACGGTAAAATCTAAGCATCTAGTTTGCAGTGAATGTGCAACGCCTCTCCCGGACGGATCAAGGAAGAAGATGTGCAGTCAGTGTACCGCAAATTCCTTGGAAAGAGATAAGCAAAAAGATATGCAGTCTTTCCTAACCTGGTTCCAAGAAAATCTGGTCCAGACTTTGGAGACTATTAAGGAGTCTAAAAAGGTGGAATCCCCGATACAACAAAGGATCAAGAAAAGAAGAAGGTCGCCGTCTGTATCTGAAAGCTCATCTGGGGAATATATTTCCTCGATTGATTCAGATGATTCAGGATCCTCTTCAAGTGAACCGGTTGGGTTTCCTTCAGATGAAATTCGAAAATTTATAAAGGAAGTAAACCTAACAATCCTACCTTAGGATGCTGAGAACCCTAAAAAAAGGTTTTTTTGTTCAACAAAGCCTGGTCGATCTCATTTTTAGGGAATGGAGAAACCCTGAAAAACGTGCCTTTCTTTCCAGACACTTCAAGGATATCTTCAAACTGGCTGGCAAAGTTATTTGGGAAGATCTCCCAAAAGTAGATGTTCAGGTCGCGCAGATTGCTAAAAGGACCACTATCCCCATAGGGGAAACTTCAGCTTTGAAGAATCCAATGGATAAAAGAGCCGAAACCTCTTGTAGACGAGCTTACCAGACAGCCGGTTTCCAATGCAGGGCTTTACTGGCAGGAGCAGCGGTTGCCAGAGCAAATGATAGCTGGCTAAATACGATACAAGATGTTTTTTCGTCTGACCAGGTTGAAGAATTAAGCCACTTGTTTCAGAAAATGCACTTGGCTAATGAATACCTTTTGGATATGTCAGTAGAAGTTCTAAAATTGTCATCCATAATTATGGGATTGTCTTCGGTAGCAAGACAGCCTTATGGTTAAGGTCGTGGACAGCGGATTCAGTCTCCAAATCAGTCCTTTGTGAGCTTCCACTAGAAAAAACAAAATTATTTGGGGCTCCCTTAGAAGAAATCATTAGGCAAATGTCAGAAACCAAGAAGGCACTTCATCAGGATAAGAAGTTCTCCTGGAGATCAGGATACAGAAATTACCAGTATAAAAACAGAAGATCCTATCGAGAGGCCGCAATTTTTTCAAAGAAGGGATAAAAATCGTAGATTCGAACAGAGGGGTGACGTTAAGAGAACCTTCAGAGATAAAGAGAGATAGGCAAAGGCATGGTAGCTTCCCGTGGTACCTTGTTCCATTGGCTCATTCAGGCTATAGAATTGGCGTATTCTTCGGCAGGTCTGCAGTCTCCAGCTAAACTTAAGGCCCACTCAACTCATGGGCAGAGAAGGCACTTGCATCTCCGGAGGTCATCTGCAAAGCTGCATGCTGGTCATCGTTTAACACCTTTATCAAGCACTATCGGCTAGACATATACTCTGTCTCTGAAGCAGCCTTTGGGCGTAAGGTGTTGCAAGCGGTAGTGGCCTAAGTCCCGCCCAGATGAAGATCTTGCTATATCCCTTCAGTTACTGTCACCATATGACAGAAAAAAATGAAATTTGTACTTACCGTAAATTCTTTTTTTCTTAATATGGTGGCAGTACTACTTCCCTCCCTTTTGTTATTAAAGAATTTTTGCAGTAGATATTGAGCTGTATTGTCTTTCTTGTCACGTACTGGGGTAGGTTTGGCGGTACAGCACTTTATAGGTAAAGGGTCCTTTTTAAAAATTAATTGCTAAGATGTCTTGTCCACAGGGGGAGCATAACCCTTCAGTTACTGCCACCATATTAAGAAAAAAATAATTTACGGTAAGTACAAATTTCTGTTTTCTCTATATGTGAGGATGAATAGTGCCCGTTCAGTGAAAATTCGGGGCTGTATTTTTGGTTGTCGGCATAAGAGAGAAAATGTAAACAAGCATTGATGCCATCTGTATGCGGAATGCTGCTGTACAGAGATTCCACATCCATGGTGACAAGGATGGTGTTAGTACAGAGATTGATGATTTGGCTAAATTTGTTAAGGAAGTCAGTTGTGTCTTTTATGAAGGTGTTGGTGACTAGAGGTTTTAGGGTATTTTCTACCAGTCCTGAGATCTGTTCTGTGGGCGTTCCCATTCCTGTAATTATAATTGTAATACCTGCTTTGTGGATTTTGGGAAGAATATAGAAAGTGCCTACGCAGTTCTGGATGTACATTCTCAGGGAAGGATTTAATGAGCTCCCTAAATTGCAATGTATATTCTTTGGTGGGATCTTCATTTAGTTTTCTATATTATTTGCCATCTGACAATTGCCTGTTCCACTCTTTTATGTAGACCTAGGTGTTCATTAACAGTACTGCTCCTCCCTTGTCTGCTGGCTATTTTAAATAGCTTGTGGAGCTTATGTAGTAGAAATCTCCCAAATCAAATCTTACATCCCAAATGATGCACTTACCACCCCAGCTGAAAAATACATGTCATATTTAGCCTTTACATGCCAATGCTGCATCTGGAAATTTTTAATGTAAAATAACCAGCAAGTTAGCCATTGCCTATTCTATCCACTCATTTGTTTTGTGGACAGTTAAGCATTTCAGATGTTTTTTGTTACATCTCCTTCCCATGAATAATGTATTTTTTTAATAATAATATATTATGTTTTATGTCAGTAATAATCGGTGCTCAGAGCCTTTAGTAATGGTGTAGCTTTCCTTGAAATCTGGAAAGGATGGAGCCCTATGTTTTGCAGTGAAATATGCCACCAGAGAAACATAAGTAATGCTCATATATCCAGTCATCAAAATTTCTAAATCATCCACTAGCCATTCGAAAGTGAAAATGCAGCCCTAGCAAGTAAAAAAGCACCCCTGTGATTGTGTCATTAACCATTCAGGTTTGAAGTGTAGTAGTGTAGTGTTTGACATTTTGAGTTCTGATTTAGTGCCAAAATTATATTTCAACTTCATTGTTGGATAGGAATCATATCACATTCTCCTTAACCAAAGAATCCAGGGTATACACTGATAAGTCACAACATTAAAATCACACATGTAATATTGTGTAGGTCCCCTTCATGCTGCCAAAACAGCTCTAATGCATCAAAGTATGGTCTCTACAAGACCTGTACCCTGTGGTGTCTGGCACCAACACATTAGCAGCAATCCTTTAAATGAATTGAATTTGTTGTTTCAGCACATCCCACAGATGTTGAATTGGCTTGAGATCTTGGGAATTTGGAGGCCAATCAACACCTTGAACCCCTTGTCATGTTCCTCAAACCATTCCTGAACACATTTTACAGTGTAACAGGGTGCATTATCCTGCTGAAAGAGGTCACTGCCACCTGGGAACACCATTGCCACAAAGGGGTGCATGTGGTCTGCAACAATCTGTAGGTGGTGGTATGTGTCAATGTAACGTCCACAGGTTTCCCAACAGAACATTGCCCAGAGCATAACACTGCCTCAGCCGGCCTGCCTTCTTCCCATAGTGCATTGTGCTGCCATCTCTTCCCCAGGTAAATGACACACATGCACCCGGTAATCCATATGATCTAAAAGCAAACGTCACTCATCAGACCACTCTTCTTCCATTACGAAAAGAAGGAGGAAAAATCAGCGCTCAACTGCCACACAAATAGATAAAAAGGCAGCACTTCTCAGAGAGGAATCCCCTATAATCCCCCAGATAATAGAAGATAAAAACAAGTAAAAAGGATAAGAATGCGCCTAAAAATTTATGCAAAATATAAAATGATATAGAGTATAAAAAGTAGTAAATTAAACAATAAAATAAAGTCCAAAACACTTATCAAGTGTCCGTAATAATAGGTTCTTGTGGGAAGACAAGGAGTCTTGGGACGTCTGGCGGTGTAGAATCTTCACAATGGTAGGCTCGAATCCAGTGGAGAATATATAAAAGGGAAACAGAAACAGGAACTCCAATGGTACAGTATATCAATAAAAATAAGATTCTAGAATAGTGAAAATAGCCGTACTCACACTTTTCAGAGCTAGATTATAGCTCTGATATTATGCGCATGAAGTGAAATGATCCCCACTCAAGGATATGCAGGAAATTTTTTGATTGGAGGGTTTATTCTCTAGAGCAGACTCATACTGCTCGGTGTAGACGTTTGGGTGGTATAATCCCCACCTATGGATTCTTTAGGCTCCTTGTGGATATAGGTCAGGTGCAAAATTAAAATAAATTAAAATAAAGAAAATAAAGAAAATAAAGAAAAATGGCAATAAAATGTCTTATGCCAAATAAAATTCTTTATTATAAAGTAATTAATAAAATATTATTATAAATACACAATCTGTAGCTACCTCATCATCAGGTGCACAAAAAATTATCTCTACCTCTTTAAAGAAAACTTCGACTTTCTTTCCCTCTAGTTTTAAATCAGGTCCTTTAGAAGTTTTCGAAAAATTAGTTACTAAAGACCTAGAGAAAATTCAAAGAAATAAATATGATCAAGATAATCTTACACAACTAGAACGCGTAGCATTACAACAATTACAGAGAGATGAAAATATTGTCATAAAACCTGCAGACAAAGGGGGGGGGGGTATTGTTATCTTAACTAAAGATATGTATATCAAAGAAGCTATGAGACAACTAAACGATTGTACAGTTTATGAAAAATTAGTACGTGACCCAACACCTAAAATACAACAAGTTTTAACTTCATTTTTAACTAAGGGCCGTGAACAAAATATTTTAACCAAACAGGAATTTGAATACCTAAACGTATCCCATCCTATTATTCCGGTCATATACTTTTTGCCAAAAATTCATAAGAACATTACTAATCCTCCTGGTAGGCCTATTGTCTCAGGAATTAAGTCTATTTTATCCAATCTATCTGAATACCTGGACATTCTCTTACAGCCCTCAGTGAAACGTATGAAGTCATACTTAAAAGACTCTATGACTTTACTCCGCTTTTTAAATAATTTTAAATGGAAAAATACATATATTTTAGTGACCTGTGATGTACAATCTTTATATACTATTATTCGTCATGATCAAGGTTGCCGTGCAGTTGAAAATATTTTAAAAGCGGAAAATAATATCTCAGATCAACAGGTAGATTTTATTATTCAGGGTATAAAAATTATTTTAAATAACAACTATTTTTGGTTTTTAGATTCCTTTTATTTACAAAAACAGGGTACTGCCATGGGGACCAGGTTTGCACCCAGCTATGCCAACCTATTTATGGCAGAGTGGGAATCCACCGCCATTCTAGGGGGGCATGGCTGGCAAACAAACCTGGTCACCTATTTTAGGTATATAGATGATCTGTTTTTTATTTGGGATGGTCCAGAAAACTCATTGAATCAGTTTTTACAGCATCTTAATCAAAATGATAAAGGTATTATTTTAACTTGTGATTATAGTAAATCTTCTATTCATTTTTTA